TTCATCGTTTATAATTTGTTCACTCATATCTTCACACAATTGTAATCGCCGATCAAAATCGTCTTCATTAAGTTCTTGTACGAGGTGAATTTTATACGGATGAAAACTATGGGCCTTTAGAATCCGTTGGACAGCACGTCGACTAACACCACACACAGTCTCCAATTTGCGGGTGCTTAACGTAGGATCTACATAAACTTGCCCTAAAACCCCCAGTTCTATTGCTTCGTTCCTTATGGGATTTTCAATGTTGCATTTTTTATTGGCGTCTGACCCAGTTTCCCGAAATTTAGCTACAAGTTCTAGAACATATTTTCGATGCACGTTACTGTTCTCATGTCGCTCATTAAATATTTCTGCTGTTCTATTAGCGCACTGATTATTTTCGAAAAATATTTCGATGATTTCAACTCTTTCTGCTGTGGAATATACCATGGTCAATTTATGTAATAAAGCGTTACAAGTTATTTTAGCAACAAAGTTTGGTCAAATCAATCGCAAATTATGTACTAAATTCCTATTTAAAATAAGTACGAGATATGTATTTCCTTATGTTTCTTCAAGGAATAACTTTTTTGACACAAAAAAACGCTCCAATAGCTATTTTCAACAACAAAATGATAAACAAACCATGGGCGTAGTGAAGAAAAGCATTTACTTATTAAATAAATTCTTTTAGTCAAATTTCTTCTGAAAGTAGTACAAACTAATCTGATGTACCTATTAAAGGCTACTTTAAGCTTTAAATCAATAAATCTTCAAAACTACTGAACTGAAGCTCATGTATTTTACATCATTATAAAGGGATTTGGAAGACCTTTGAAATAAGGTATCACTCGACCCCCCTTTCCATTTAAGATTTTAGGGTTGGTGTCACCCCCGCCCAGGGGGGCGGCACGTGTTAACGTGATTTTTTGCCAAACTTGTGTCCCCCTCGGGAACACGACGGGTCTGAGCGTTTTTCCAAAAAAAACTGAGCTGCCAGTAAATGCGTCTATTTCGTTTTCGATGCGCCACCCTGTATACGCTCCTTACTTAAAATTGAATGTCCTGTATATTCTGGAAGGTTCCTTCAAAGGAAGAAGTTTGATATAGCATACTGAGAGGTCTGGATCGCCACTTCTGGAGCTGCGGGATATTTTGTCTGAAAAAATATTCAACTTTGACAGCTTGCAAGTCAATCACGTTTGAAGATCGAATAGCGCCCTTTTTGTCAGAATGAGCTTTATAGCCCATAATAATTCCTTGATATTTAAACTTCTTTCAAGCTTCGTGCAGCAACTATACCGCGGGCTAGTGAACGCAAAATTCACTCTTTCTCAAAAAATTTAAATGGAAACCCAGATGGAAACCCCCCTATACATTGTGTTCCAACCTGCTATCTTGATAGTTGGAGTAGTAGATTTTGCGTAAATAAAAGTTTACTCAATTTTAGCCTAAGTCGAATGCAGAGGATATGAAACAGAGACCACAAGAAGCGTTTTTAAATATCAGTGGACACACGCTACAAAGTGTGAAACAAACACTCATTCGAAGACGTCAATTGTGTATTTAATATCAACGAGACATTTGTGAACATTTTATATTGTAGTACCAATAGTTTAAATTTTAGTTATATTCACAAATTGGCGTCATTTTTAGACATGTGAGAAAATTAATTCAATCTGTAATAATAAATTACAACGCAAAAGCATTGTTTAGTGATAACTGCCTGATTTTTTAGACATATTTTCAATAGTCCTTTGCTTGTTGTTTATTTTCATAGATAATGTGACTCGTATGAATAGAGAAACATCAAATTTTTTTGGGAAAAACAGCTGTTACGCAAAAACCATTTCAACAACCTGGTACCAACCTACATATATTGAAAACAAGCCAATATAAATGAGGATCCGATAGTGCAAAAATATACAAAGTGTTTTGCTTATATCTTATACGCAGATGTATTATTTGCATTTTTGACCTCTCTGTATTGATCATTCAAAAAATTCGCAAAATGGATGAATAAGACTGAAATTGAGTGCAATAGAAAAAAATTTTTAATGTTTTTTAGATAAAGCACCCATTGTCCCAACTGATGTTCTCATCATAACAATGTTATTCTTTTGACAGGGTCTACCCGAATTTGTTATAAAAAATAGGGCATTCCATTTAAGAGAAATCAACTTTGACATGTAAGTCAATATTGGGACACCCTCCATAATTGTGAATATATTAGAAATATGCCTCCAGATACCATATAAATAACCTATATATACAGTTTTCATAGGAACCTCTATTTAGGTGCCATACTTCCTCCTCACACAGTTGGGACACCCTGTATGTGCGGCATTATCATTTTTATCACCTTTATTTTGGTATAAAATGTTTGAGGGTCCAAAGTTTTTTGTAGTTTCCTAGAAACCCCTATTCAAAATTAATACATATACATACAGGGTGACTTTGAAGTTGAGTCATTAATTTTCAGATAATGATTGTAGAAGGAAGATAAACCAAAATATGTGTGTAAAAATAAAAAAAAAATAAAAAAAAAATGTTTACCTTGTTTTATAAAGTATCCTCCCGACAAGTATTTCAGTGCGGACCTGTATTTGATCGTGAGGTCCCCTGTGAGGTCTTAAGTCACCTGATTCACGAGCCTGTTGTACTACATTAACAAAGGCACGAGGGGTTGGTTGCACTCGATTGGGAAACCGATCCGCATAAACATGTGCCATTTTTTATTTCGTTTGAGCCACGTAACAGACACCACTGTTCACACGCGTTACCGACTGACACTGACTGTATGTATACAACTGAATAAAATAATTGTAAAAACATCGTTCCAAATTCTTTCGCTTTTTTGTTTCCGATGCGATGAACCGATAAGGCGGATTATATCCGTTGTTGCCAAACACGAGCACATGATATTATTATTGAGACAGGGCGGTACTCAAACTTCCAAAGGGCTATAACTTTGTTACTTTAATTTTACCAGAAAAATGGTAAAGGAAAAAAACATTTCTTTTGACCAGATCTACTCACTGTTAAAATAAATGACTCAACTTCGAAGTCACCCTGTATATTTGTACAAGTAACATCTGAAACTTATACTATGTCGGCCAACACTGTGGTACTTTTCAAATATATATCACAAACGTGATGACAAAATAATTTGTTCTTCTGTGTTCCATGTGACAGTTTATTTGCTTTTCTTTCCCGTTTCACGTTAGTAAACAGTGTGGTACTACAACAATCTGAGCAGTCCTGCAACATGCACCGCGTAAAACCAGCACAACTCAGAACCGCCTGGATTAGGCGTTCCCGCTGCCAAAAGGACGTCCCGTCCCGCCTCCCAAAGTGACAAGCGAGCATCAGGTTATCTGACGTTTTTTGTTACTGAAACAGACACGTCACCCTGATATATCGTAATGGGTAATTTTTTTTGCTAGTATCTTTTTGACACTGTTTTTGACAGATGACGCATGAATCGTGTCTTGTGTCATTGTCAAAATTGTTCAGTTTGGTCTATAATTTAACCATGAATCGACTTACGAACGAACAATGCTTGCAAATTATTGAATTTTACTATCAAAATTCATGCTCGGTTAAGAGAGTGCATCGAGCACTTCTTCCAATTTATGGGCAATCTGGTCGGCCTACTGAGGGAGCTATTCGGAAGCTTGTGACTAGATTTCGAACCCAGTTTACATTATTGGACATTACACCACCAACACGCAGACGTAGGGTGATGACTGAGGAAAATATTGCGGCTGTATCCGCCAGTGTTAGTGATGACCGTGAAATGTCGATTCGCCGCCGTTCGCAGCAATTGGGCCTCTGTTACTCCACTACGTGGAAAATTTTGCGACAGGATTTGGGTGTAAAACCTTATAAGATACAGCTGGTGCAAGAATTGAAGCCACAAGACCTCCCACAATGTTTCCAATTTGGTGAATGGGCGCTGGCAAAGTTGGAGAAAGATCCACATTTTTATCGAAAAATTGTGTTCAGCGACGAAGCTCATTTCTGGTTGAATGGGTACGTTGACAAGCAAAATTGTCGCATCTGGAGTGAAAACCAGCCAGAAGCATTGCAAGAGCTACCAATGCATCCCGAAAAAATCACTGTTTGGTGTGGATTATAGGCCGGTGGCATCATCGGGCCGTACTTCTTCAAAGACGACAATGGCCGGAACGTAACTGTGAATGGCGAGCGCTACCGTGCGATGATAACAAACTTTTTTTTCCCCAAAATGAAAGAGCTGGACTTGGCTGACATGTGGTTTTAACAAGACGGTGCCACATGCCACACCGCACACGAAACAATGGCCCTATTGAGAGGCGAGTTCGGTGAACAGTTTACCTCACGTTTGGGGCCGGTCAATTGGCCGCCTAGATCGTGTGATTTAACGCCGTTGGACTATTTATTGTGGGGCCATGTTAAGGTTAATGTCTACAGGGATAAACCAGCAACGATTGATGCACTGGAAGCCAATATTGAAGCATTTATTCGTGAGATACCGGCCGATATGTTGGAGAGAGTGTGCCAAAATTGGACCTTGCGCATGGGCCATCTAAAGCGGAGCCGCGGCCAACATTTACATGAAATAATCTTTAAACATTGAATTATATCGACCGTTCTATCGACTCAAATAAAGATTTAATCGTTTTTTTAAATTTTTTGTGTTTTTTTTTTAAATCAAATCCTATACCTCTTAAAAAATCACCCGTTATAAAAAATACCAAAAGTCCTCCGAAAATACAAAAACTCACCCAGTAATGCTATCACATCACACCGGTCAACTGATATGCAATCTTCGACTACAAATGCTGCATGCGCAATGTTTATGGATGTGAAATGCAAGAAATAGTATTTCGACATCTAAAGGCCAAACTGTTGTCTTATATCATTTCCTCACAAGTCAAACAGCATTGTTTCCTGTAGATGTCGACAAAGACATTGTCCCGTTTTGCACTAAACAAACTTCTTGTATAAAATCAAGCTTTCTGAGTCACTAGGTCAGGAATCACTGTCAATATTAACCTGTACATTGTATGTCAAATTCACCGTAATGCTTGAGGCAAAATTTTTTCGTGTTTTATAAAAATTTCAATAAGATGTCTTTCGGGTACTACACAAAATGGTGGATTGCATCCAAAAAGCAGTTGGAGGATCTCTACGCCAGCGATGCAGCATGGAGAAAAAAGGCTAAGCCAATCACGGATAGAAACCTAGCCAACATGTTGCTGGGGGGTTTATATGCGAGATACGCCATGTTGTTCCAAGAATTAGACACATGCTTGGACCAAATGGTTCAACCACAAAAGCGGTTGACCGTTAGAAAGTTGATGGACGCTGCTACCATAAGGTTAGTAGACAAAATAGCAAGGTCTGAGAAACTTCAAACAGGGAATAGATAAATCTATATTAGGTGGTTTGCGATTCATATCGGCAAGGAAAACTAGTGTATTTTGCTATAAAATGTCCTTTGAGCTAACCCTGTATATTTCTGAATAAACTACGAGTAGTATTGATGGCCAGAAAACAGGTGATTTGGGATAAACAATTAGAAATTCTCAAAAACTACTTGACCAATCTACTCCAATTTTGCTGTGGTTATTAAGAAGTACGAATCCTGCGAATTTAAAGAATTTCAAATATCTGCGAGGAACCATTGTCGCATTACCAACAAGTGCCAAAACCTGCAGTTTGCCTCGGTTTTCGGTCATAACTTTTTTGCTATTAGCCGGATCTTTTACCTGTGGTCTTATTTTGTAGGTCTCATAAAAATCTTTAATGAAGAGTTTTTCTGTTCCTGCCGACACTTTCGATTCAATCCCAAAAAACACGTTTTCTCATTCTTTGTTGTCGAATAAAAAGTTTTCCCACAAAAATTGGTGTACCCATTTTATGCGTCCATATTTTGAATACCCCCTTGAATAACTTGCAACAATAAAACCAGACTTCACAATTCGCAAACGAGGGTTATTTTCATTTAATATTACACAGAGCAAGGCATATGGTACCATCGGATTTCGGTTAAGCTCGACGAGGCACGGCATGTATAATTTTGATTGTCATCACAAGCAAGTGAACGAAAGTCAGGAAACAAAGACCTATTTAGAACAGAAAATTGGGCTTTTGGACCTTTCGTCGATCCGACTGGAAAAAGAAACAGTAGATGCGTGCCTATACTTATCCAATTTATCCACGAAATGACATTCCGTCTAGATTGCAAGCAGTCAAGAATTTTTTGTATTTTCATGACAAAACTTTGAAAATGCACAACGCAAAAATGTCCTTTTTTGTTCATTGTGTCCACAAGTGAACGAAACTTGGTACGCTTAGATAATTTGAGGCGCTGATTTCAAATGCGATCATCATATCCTGAAGTGCCGCGAAGCCATATTTTTTAGTTTTACACTTAATCAAGAAAGTAATAAAAATTAATAGTTTCTCTTCAAAAGGTATTTCTTTTCTTTGTCCTCATTCACACCCTTATGTGACATAAATAAAAAGCCTTTCCGGAAAGCTCAGCTAAGATAGTAGTAATTGAAGCGAGGTCGGAATAATCGATATTGCATGCGGAAGTTCAAACAGCTAGCCGCGGGTCTGCCTGATAAAGACCACGAACTAAATCTGTGTTGTGTTTCTGGAGTTACTGACATCAACATTGCTACTTCAGGTTGTGGGAATTCAACCAAGAGCTTCGCAAAATTGACCTCTCTGAATATCACTACGTCGATGGAAGTTTGATAGAGTTAAAGCTAGTCCCGTATGATGTAGAGATACTACACCCAGCATTGAAGTATCCAAGACCCAGCGACGTCGAGGATATGGTTCAAAGGATCAACAGAGGAGAGAAGATATTCATTCCACCTGAGCTTATAATTGAAAATGAACCGGTAGAGGGAGCAGAAATTGCTGAAGGTGGAGACAAGCCTCCTGACGTGACACCAGAAGAGGAGGAGGCTGCTAAAAAAGCTGCTAAGAAGCCAAAGCCTAAGAAGGTGGTATATTCGCTTGAGACTTCAAGTAAAACATGTATTTTGTTAAAAGTGATCCAAAAAGGTTTTATACCTATATCGAAGCAAAACTTCTGTAAATGTAGGTTTCAATCCAGTTTGACCAACTGTAACTCTAGTGAATCATTCCTCCATAAGTCAAAGTAACTGTGATGATGCCCAAATGGCAAACATGAACCATTATTCTTTTATACAGTTAGTGAAAGAAGAGGTAGTGTTATCTCCGGAAGAAATAGAAGCCTTAAAGCGCAAAGAAAGAACTACCAAATGCATCATGCTGATACAGACAGCCGAACGTGCTAGACAAGAAAGGATTTATTTCAACATCAAGAAGGCGATTTTTGAGAAAAAACAGGCTATGAAAACGATGCCGCCTAGCCAGCAGAAGAAGGTTCAACAAGTCAATGAGACATCCCTATTGGAAGATACAACTTTGAAGCTGCAAAGTTGGTGGAGAGGATGCAGTGACAGGCTCAAACTGAGGGCCAAAGAGGTATGATCTTGTTAGTTCTTCATATGATAAATAAATTTAGTTGATAAAAACTAGTTGTCAATGGCATCTCAGATGACGAGATCACCTTTAAACAAGGAGCTTGTAACTGATGTTTAGAACTCAGGTTGGTTTAAAAAAGTTAGCTACAAAGCCTTTACTGGTTATTAGCAGGTATCAGGCCAATATTGCTCTACAAAAATCTAAGGGAGAGGCATGGAGAAAGATCTGCAGGTTCATATGGTTCCTGACAGACGTCAACATTTTATCGTTGAAGGAGAGTATACTCGTAGAATCGCTCTGTCATTTGGTAGAGATTTCCGCATCCTTAATAGACTCGTACCTTACTTGAGTAAAGGGAAGTCCTATTTAATCTGAATCTTCTCGTTTTGATATGGACATGACAATGTCGTTTCTGATGTGCTTTTTGCCACTGAGCAAGACATGAAGATTTATCAGATCAGACAACCACAGGATAATATTCAGATGATACGAGGGTCAATCTTGTTTGACCAAAAGCACAAACATAAATCATATTATAATGGGTGCTTCGTTTTCAAGAGGTTAGCTAACATGCGTCAATAATATTACTTATCCTTTCATGACATGTAGTCTCAATATACATTTTGTTTATAGGTTGAAAGACGGATGCTGATTGGCACGTACGAACCCAGCTGGAAGTCAACAGAAGCCTACGACATCTTCCAAAAGAACCTTGAAGTCAGAAGAACGTACAGGGATCAACGAATCAAGGAATACATCCAGTCCATCGACGACGAAAGGACGAGAATTCTAAGAATTGTTGCTCCTGGTCTCATGGAGGATATCGGAGACGAAATCAGGGAATGGTTCCGTGTATGGTACAAAGAGATCAGAATGTTTGACAAGTTTCCTCCAGAAGAGAAGGGAGGTATGGTTGATTACAAATTAAAACATAGCACTTTAACGTCGGCATCGTATCCCATGTATTCTACGTATTAGCAGATTCACCGCCGGGGCCAATATATTAACGTTTGGATCAGTCAACTAGAGAAGTACCTGGAATGTTCCCCAAGCTTAAATGGAGTTAAGACGCTATCAGCAAACAATCTGTCCCTTTTTCATTAGCTTGTTTCTTCTTTACTATATCTGTATAAAAACAAAACCCACATCTTCCATTTTAGTTGAGGAACAGATTACAATCAATATCTAGACTTCTTTATTGACGCCTTGTATCCCTAACAGCAACAGTATGACTTTCGAGAAGTCATCAATCACTTTAGGTTGTGAGTAGGAGATGGTATACAATATTGCTCATGATTATGTTAAGGTACAATCTTGGTGGTTCGTGGTGAAACTATGACACCCAAGGAGTACCTGGATGATTATGAAAAGAAAAGGAGAGAAAAAGTGAAAAACAAGGGCAAAGACAGGGCAAAAGTAGAAGCTGAAAAAAAGAAGAAGGCTGAGGCAGAAAAAAAGAAGAAAGAATCAGAAAAGAAGAAGAAAGAGGCTGAGGCTGCGAAGAAGAAGAAAAAGAAGAAGAAGCCTTCTGAGTATGAATTCGAGTATAACGAAACTGCCGGGTTACCTATTTATGAACAAGGTAAATTGATATCAGTTAAGTTGTCTTCACAACCATGATATCACGAAACAATTTCATCATTTCAGTGAATGATATTTGTTTTCTTTTTAACTCTGTTTTCTAGGTATGAAGGAACATGCGGAGATTTGGGACCAACGCAACGACTTGGATAACCCATTGGAGAAACACTACATGGATATGATAACCGATAGAAAATGCTATGAGGTACAAATAGAAGTGAGACAGAAGATAGATGAAGCTATGAGGATAGAACTGGAAATGTTAGAAGACGCCTTGGAGCAAGATAGGATTCGGATGGGTAAGAAGAGAAATAAGAAGAAGAGGAAAGGGAATAAGGGAAAGAAGAAGAAAGGAAAGAAAGGGAAAAAAGATCCTACTGGGGATAGGACTACGGAGGACTTGTTCCAAGAGCTTGTTAATGAGGGCATCATCAGGTCGTATCCGAAAGTATCATTGAGCGAATACCATGGGGATTTCAGCTATAAGAATTGGGATCTTAGGAATGAAGACTTTGATCCACCTGGCACTCTTTTAGGTAAGCAGTCAAATGCAAGTCATACTTCAAACCATAAAGTATATCTTCAAGATACCGATGTAGTATGTCTGATGCTTACATTTATGTAATCGTGATGCCATCTCAGCCAAGAAACCAGTATGGCACTGGGTTACCTCCATCTCATACTTTCTGATTTCAGTAGTTTGTCAGTGGCAAGCCACTTTCCTTCACGGAAGATGCCGTCACGGGTATCTGTACCGAATGTGGGTAATCCAGGAGTTATAATCAATAGGCTTGGATTGGAAGAACGTTGCAAAATTATTTATCCTGAGTTCCTACTGTTGTCGGACATATCTGTATATATTGTATATATATATAGAGAGAGAGAGAAAATGATCATGCGGAGAAAGGTATATAACAAAAAGTAGGACAATAATGGGCAAAATCCGCAAAAAGGAGGAAAGTGAATTCGAGCAGAAAATAGGATAGGTAACCCGAGCGATACGTATTTCTGCTGGTTGGCTTCATCAGGCCCGAAATGAATGCATATATGAAACTACCAAAGTAGATACACATGCCCACACATCCGGATATGGGTGTAACCTGAGGAAACGAAGACGGAGAGGGAAAAAAATGACACACACAACAACAAGAGCCAACCTACACATTGTAGTGCCAAACGGCTAGGCCTCGAATTTTCAAGGAGACAAGAGAAAATTTTCTCTTTGTAGATCCTTTGGGCTTAAAGTACCACAGCAAGTGGCTATAACCGGCCGCGTGGTTGTGGTTAGATGTCTTCTTGAAAATTCGAGGTCTCCTAGCCGTTTGGTACTACAATGTGTAGGTTGGCTCTTGTTGTGGACTTCGTGTGTCGTTTTTTTTTCCTCTCCGTCTTCGTTTCCTCAGGTTACACTCATATCCGGATGTGTGCGCATGTGTATCTACTTTGGTAGTTTCATATGCGCATTCATTTCGGGCCTGATCAAGCCAACCAGCAGAAATACGTATCGCTCGGGTTACCTATCCTATTTTCTGCTCGAATTCACTTTCTTCCTTTTTGCGTATTTTGCCCATTATTTTCCAACTTTTTGTTATATATATATATATATATATATATATACATATATAATTGAAGAGTGTAAGTGCTAAAGGATCTAAGTGCCAAAAACATGGAACCGAGATAATCAAATAAAACTATCTGAGTAAGAAATAAACGATATTTTAGGTGTAAATATATTTTTTTAAGACAAATCAGATTACTTTAAGTAAGACCCTTGAGAAAACGAAGTTTAAAAGTATTAATTTCGACTTGAAAATAATTTTTAAAATGGTCCATGTGCCTTATTAGGCTTGTTTTGCAGGTTTTATATCACCTCGAAGTTTTGTACTCTAAGCCAAGTGTCCTCAGACGTTTTTGCTCCTTTTTCACACTTTCTGAACCTTTTGCTCTTATTTTTCATTCCATTTTCAGTTAAGACATAGAAATGACACAACAGAACAAAACTGTCACGGAACCAAATCTGTTTCCTAGCTTTAGCACATAGCCCCCTTATAAATAAAATGTATGTTGGCACTTGCAGGGACCGCCATCTCTTTGACAGAAAACCTAAATGAATCGCTGGCACTTACTACCTTTGCAATATTATTAGGCATAGCACATGAAGAATTGAAAATATTTGTTTTTGGCACTTAGACCATTTAGAACTTACACTCTTCATTTATATATATATATATATATGTACAGGGTGTCCGCAAAGTTGGGGTTTTCCTATTCAGAAACAATTACCTTTGACATAACAAAGGTAATGTGTAGTGAAACGAGGGCGACCAAGTAAATAAAAAAAATAAAGTAAAAAGTACTCACTCTCCAGTTGAGGAGAAGGGCTAAGTACGTCTCTGCCTGCTGATGCGCTACCTACCAGCGCAGGCAAATAAGGAAGGCAAAATGTTGCGTAAAAAGTCTAGGTATTGCATCCCGTCCAATCGATTTGGGAGAATAAATGGTCCAATGAGTCTACCGTTCACCATGCCAGCCCAAACATTACCGAAAATGTTTGTTGAAAATGTGCCCGACGGATAGCGTGCGGATTTTCTACTGACCAAACATGAGTGTTGAGAAAGTTATTCACCCCATTACGCGTGAACGTAGATTCGTCTGTCACCAATATGCACTTCAAAAAGTCCGGATTATTGTCATGTTGATGCAACAACCACTCACAAAACCGCACTCTTGCTGGAAAATCGTCAGGTTGAAGGGCTTGTACATGTTGGACGTGAAACGGATACCGCCCCTCTTCACGCAGCGTTTGCCACACTTTAGTTTTTGATACTTGCACTTCTCTAGCCACGTCTCTAGTGCTTGTTGAGGGATTCTCGTCTATGCGATTACCTCTACAGGCGTGACCGTAACCGTCGGTTGAAGGTTGCATACTGACCTGACACACTGACCCCGACCCAGTTCTGTCGTCGGGTTGAGCTAGTGTCCTAGTACCACTCGGGGATGTCGCGGCTACAGAACGGTATTCAGATATTTTTGATGTTACAGAGCCCTTTATCTCGGTTCCCTTAAGACATTGGTGTATAATGGTACTAAGAAAAATTGCTTATGTTTTCAAGATCTACACGTCGTGTAAAGGAAAACCCCAACTTTGCGGACACCCTGTATATATATATATATATATATACAGGGTGACTTTGAAGTTGAGTCATTAATTTTCAGATAATGATTGTAGAAGGAAGATAAACCAAAATATGTGTGTAAAAATGGAAAAAAATAAAAAAAAATGTTTACCGTGTTTTATAAAGTATCCTCCCAACAAATATTTCAGTGCGGACCTGTATTTGATCGTGAGGTGCCCTGTGAGGTCGTAAGTCACCTGATTCACGAGCCCGTTGTACTACATTAACAAAGGCACGAGGGGTTGGTTGCACTCGATTTGGAAACCGATCCGCATAAACATGTGCCATTTTTTATTTCATTTGAGCCACGCAACAGACACTATTCACACGCGACTGACACTGACTGTATGTATAACTGAACTGAATGAAATAAAAACATCGTTCCAAATTCTTTCGCTTTTTTGTTTCCCATGCGATGAACCGATAAGGTGGATTATATCCGTTGTTGCCAAACACGAGTACATGATATTATTATTGAGACAGGGCGGTACTCAAACTTCCAAAGGGCTATAACTTTGTTACTTTAATTTTACCAGAAAAATGGTAAAGGAAAAAAACATTTCTTTTGATCAGATCTACTCACTGTTAAAATAAATGACTCAACTTCGAAGTCACCCTGTATATATATATATATATATATATAATATATGTACAATTAATTGTTAATTGGGAAATTCTCAAACTTTTAGGCTTAAGTTGACTCTTTTGACGATAAAATCAAGCTTTCGGCATTCTCTATGGAGCCTTCAAAAGGTGTTTCAAAATGAACGAAGAGATGAGAGAACTTGTTACAAATATAAAAACAATCGGACGGAGACATTGGGATACCTTCGTTATGTGTTGAAAATATCAATTCACCCGAACATATTAAAAATTATTAATCATGAGAAGACATTTTGGGGAAACAAAGCGATTGGGTAATGAGCCGAATGTCTCCGTCCGATTGTTTTCAGATTTGTAACAAGTTTTCTCATCTCTACGTTCGTTTTGAAACACCTTTTGGCTGCAACCTCAACGACGAAATTCTGATGAAGGCTCCATAGAGAATGCCGAAAGCTTGATTTTATCGTCAAAAGAGTCAACTTAAACCTAAAAGTTTGCCAATTTCCCAATTGTATTTTTTACCCAACTGGTCGTTGACAATGGCAATGACTACTGCACACGTATATATATATATATACAGGGTGACTTTGAAGTTGAGTCATTAATTTTCAGATAATGATTGTAGAAGGAAGATAAACCAAAATATGTGTGTAAAAATAAAAAAAAAATTAAAAAAAAAATTTACCTTGTTTTATAAAGTATCCTCCCGACAAGTATTTCAGTGCGGACCTGTATTTGATCGTGAGGTCCCCTGTGAGGTCTTAAGTCACCTGATTCACGAGCCCGTTGTACTACATTAACAAAGGCACGAGGGGTTGGTTGCACTCGATTGGGAAACCGATCCGCATAAACATGTGCCATTTTTTATTTCGTTTGAGCCACGCACTATTCACACGCGACTGAAACTGACTGTATGTATAACTGAACTGAATTGTAATCGCAAAAACATCGTTCCAAATTCTTTCGCTTTTTTGTTTCCGATGCGATGAACCGTTGTTGCCAAACACGAACACATGATATTATTGAGACAGGGCGGTACTCAAACTTCCAAAGGGCTATAACTTTGTTACTTTAATTTTACCAGAAAAATGGTAAAGGAAAAAAACATTTCTTTTGATCAGATCTACACACTGTTAAAATAAATGACTCAACTTCGAAGTCACCCTGTATATATATATATGTATTAATTTCATACTCCAGCTACCATGAAGCACCCATGATGTATCGTGAGGTTATAGGGGGATACAGGGAAAAGGGGTGACGCCACACGGACTCTAGCGAGGGAACACGTGAGCATGCTACATGAACATATTCTGGCCCCGCCTACGAGATTCGCCTGGTGGAACATCCGCGTACGACAGAGACCTTCTACCACCTACGGAAAATCACAACATCACAAGAGAAAAAAATTCTATTGGGACGGGATTCGAACCCGCACAGCACATTTCGACTGATTAGGAGACCGTAGCGTCTACCACTACGCCACCGCTGCTGCCTGTCTCGTAACATGAAATACTTTTGGCTCTGAAAGTATACTTTCACGTAACTTTATTTGTAGCTAGTTTAATAATTATCTTTACTGTACCCTTTCTTCGAGGCGGTATGTATCCGCTATTTTATTACCAAGTACAAGCGACAGCGTAGTGCTTCCTGGCTACTATACCATTCTTACATTCCAAACCATGTCACGAGTTTGTCTTGCAAATCAGGCTTTGATTGCAGAGCAGGTAGTTATGTTACTGTTGTTCAGAAATGTATTATTGTCAGTAGAGAGGAAAAGATCATCCATCCAAAGCAAATCCGTAATAGTATTTCGCTGATGCGTTATACATGTGCATCCCATATATTTCAAATACCACATAAATATACCGATTTGCATAAATGTATTGCGAAAATAAAATAGCAACTGAATTTTCGCTAGTATATGCATCATATAGATGAACACTGTGAGATGAATGTTCAAGCAACTAGAGCATGAAATCAAAAATATTGTCTGTCGGGAGCTCATGAGGTTGAAAACCGATTACCGTATTATTAGTATTGTATTACGAATATTTTATTGTATATGCAGTGAAAATTGGACTTTCACCGACTTCTCATTAACTAGGACAAACGGGTTGTCTCGCAACTAGTGCACGTATACAATTGATTTCATCAAAAAATGGTTTCTTACGAAAGCTTGAGGCATCATTGAATTGAAAAGAATCTCGCCACACTTCCACTTTCGACAAACGCTCATTGAACTATAAATTACACAGTATGATTTGGTATGAGCATGCCTTGTTAGCAGTAATAGATTCTTTTTCATGTTCAATATCGGAGATATCCGAGGTTCATGATTACGATAGCGAAAGCTCACGGCATTTTGCCCTATAGAACAGTCGTGCTGCATTTCATATTCTAGTCCACTCCTGAATGTTTTTCGGTCAAGAAGTTGTTTTATTCTAACACCTCTCCTGCCATATATTTTTCGTTGAGAATGAGCTACAGAATTCTCCTCAGTACATGCTTCAATTAAGAGGCTTTTCGATGTTTCGCAGTCCTTAGAAATTCTAGGAAGCACTTTTTCGATCTATAATAATAATAATAATAATAATAATAATAAATTTATTTTCCATCAGACATGCATGAACATGTATAGGTTTCGTCACATGCTAGTGCTGTCAATATGTCAAAGGAGCTCCGATTGCACATTCTCAAGCGTATTGCAGATCGACTGGTGGTCTTTGGCAAACGTTTTAACTCCAAGATTTATTCACGACTTCTGTTTATAGAATTTCGTTCAAATCAAATAATTTTATTGGGTATTCGGATTTCTTTGTCACGGTGTACTTTCAGGTTCTCGTCCATGACGCCTGCATTCTGGGTTCGTATTCGCTAGGCTTATACGTTCTTCATTTTGACTCGGTCAAGCTCATCATTGGATGAGGTCTATACATTGCAAGCTGAGAATGTGAAACATTCTACCAAAAGAAGCCTTTTCGAATTCTACTAATTTGGTTAGTTCAACATTTTCGTAAACGAAACCTATTCAGTTTTTTATGTAAGTTACTGCGAATCTATTTTGTTAGAATGAAAAAACATTGCTTCAAGTAGGTTGACTCTGCCTTTCCCACGTAACGCTGTCATCAGCTCATAAAAGATTATTCAGCACAAATTGACAGCTAGCTAATTACAAGCATCAAAACAAAGGAACTAAATGGATGAAGTTAATCAAATAGGCTAATAAAATTAGTACCCAATCCCCACGCGTTCGACAATGTTGCGACATAGATCTTTTATGCTCCATCAACCATTTGATAACTTTGAGTGCAGAGTTGCGATGATCAAATCTCCAGAGATAGCGACTATCTCGCGACAGATTTAAATCTATTTTCGTTGCGCTTAAAGCAAATATCGGAAATATTTCTACCGTTCATACTCTTAAGGGCAAATATATGGGGAGATATGATTGAAATGTGTCTAATAGGTGCGTAGAATTAACGGGGATTGCAGAGTATACATACGTAAAGGCTTAAACAATTGACACATACCCTCTTCGACCCCCTACAGTCTCCAACCCTCAGTTGCTTACCTCAAACAAAGTTCCGAAAATGAGCAGTAGTTTCTGAAATATCAAAATACGAAGTTTTGGCAATTTTTATCTTTATCTACTACGCCACTGGACGATTAGATATTGTAATCGCAAAAATGTGTCGTTATATGACATGTACGTCACATCACGAAAAACGGTCACTCATTTCCGTCGGTCTACCTGCTAATCTTATAACCGCCAATAACTGGGGAAGTACCGCTGGGATTTCGATAAAAAGACAATGTTACTACTATACTAAGGACGCCATAGCATTTTTGTTTTTGAAAATCAGTCCAGTGGCAGCAGAGAGGAAGGCCAGAAAAAAATAAAACTTGCTCAAGATTCGTCTTTTGGTCTTTTATAGGGACCTAATTTTTGTAGGGGTTGAAATTTAGGGGCTGGGGATTGCATTGGATGGGGGAGGGTATTTGGCATTTCTTTGATCTTAGTATATTTATACACCCCCAACTCCGACAATTACCTGTATATGCACTTATTAGCCATGTTTCACACATCATAGACTTACCCGTACAAACTATCTGAGCGCACCGTCTAGCGAACCCGTTCGGCTTATATGTATATGTATCAGTACTGAAGCGCAAAAAATATACGGATATTGCACAAAACGAAAGGTAACTCTCTGCAGCGATGACGCTCAGATGTGGAAAGAGACAAAGTTGAAACGTGGTCGGTAGGGCATGGAAAGAATGTTTATGAACTAATTGTATGGGCCTGTTTGACTGACTCAATGCATTTAGTTCCTATGTTGTACATGTCCGAGACTAAACTTTTTCGCAGAGGATTTAACTTGCGCTGAACTTAATCCTTTAGGATGACGGCCTTGCGTATGATGTGAATAGTCAATCCATTTGACGCCATTTTTTTCTCGTTGCTTATGGATTCTCCACCACTGACACTGATAAAAACCTAGATTAAAAATTTCATCCAATCTGGGAGGTACTTTTTAAGTTATAGAGGAACCAAGTATTAGCGGATGTGCATGTCACATAACATCCAAAAAAACATAGAACGTCGAACAATAAACAGTAATTTAACATTTTTGGTTCGATTTAACGCCCAGACAATGAAGTGCTATCAACTTAAAGACAACCTGTGTTTTACAAATATTTCTTCTTCTTCGACAATCTGCGTGGGAAATAATGACAGTGCTTCTTTAGCAGTTTTCATGTACCTGGCAATCAAAATAACAACTTCAATACTAACGTTTCAGATTTTCTGTAGAAGAGATAAACAGATATACTACATGACATTCTTAAGTGGATTATTTCAAAAACCATAGACTCTACAGCATCCAGGAGCAAGCTACATCCCAGATCAATTGACGAGGACGTGTTGTAATAGTGGAAAGTTTAGAAGTCAAAGTATTGCCTCTTCGTATTTTCTTACAGATGTAAGACAGGCAGTGATAACGAATTGCATCATTCCCTTGGGCGTAACTTCAATGCAAAGGCCCAGATCAGTGCTGATAGCAGGTCCAAGACAAAGTGGCAAACACCTTCTAGCAAACGCCATTTTCAACGAAACCAAATGCGTTCTGTTCGATCTATCTCCTGAAAAAACCGCAGGAAAATATCCAGGTCCCAAGGGCATGAAGATGTTCATGCATCTCGTCTCCAAAATGTCCAAGTTGTTAGCTCCTTCGATCATATACTTCGATGCTGCTGAGAAGATTTTCTATAAGAAGGTGCCTAAGGAAGAGAAAGAGTTGGATCCTAAGAGGATTGGAAAGAAGTTGATGAAAGGGGTTATCAAAACAATAGGAAAGGATGATAGAGTTCTTATATTAGGTAAAACTCATCATATCACGGTACTGTCCATGCATGTTCAACTCTCTTCAGCGCAATTTAACAGATTGATTAGTTATAGCGATTTCTCAAATGTCCTGGCCCAAAAATGTCGAAATCTTAAAATATCGGTCTCCGTAAATATTTGATGTTTCCATACTTGATTGTCTCACCACACCATTGACCACGATAGTTCAACACAAAACGTGACAGCAAATGACTGTTGGTCATTTAGCGGCATTCAATATCCCCACATCACCTGCGGACGCAAATACTTTTGAATGAGTCGTTTTCCATAGAATAATTAGGAAAGTCCTTATGCTTAATCAGAACGTAACCATTGAATATCAGCTAATGCTAATGAAAAGAGTTCAAGCCAGCTAACAATTAATAGTTATTCACGATAGAAACAGCTTATTGCAAAAAACCAGCATTGAGGCTGTTCGGAGCTTTCTAGAACTATGCTCTAAACGTTACGGCAGTGTAGTATCATCGATAAATAGAACGCAGGATGAAAATATTCTGAGGCAGATCGTTGATGGAGATAAGAAACAGTAGGTGGCCAAGTACTGACCCCTGCAGAGCACCGTGTCCTGTATCCAACTCCCCAGAGTTCATGTTTCGATGCTAACGTACTACCTGCCATTTGTTCGAGAGGATTTAAAAAGTGCAAGCTCATCGCACCATAGGCTGTAGTACTCAAGTTTTCTTGGTAGTATCGGCGTATTGTCAAAGTCTAAAACTTTTGTCAAATCACACATGACAGCCAAAGTATACCAACGCTATTATTTACCAATATGGCCCAATAGTTAGTATACATAAATATTATTATTTACTATTGTTATTATTATTACATTTGCTGCTTCTCCAGCATTAACATGAAAATTGTCAACAGTATTTTAGAGCCGTCCTTGTATGTCGTTCAGCAAAATTCGCATATTAGCAGTGGGTACTTCTTATATAAATAATAACAAACATCCTCGATCAATAAATAAGCACTATGTGGAAACCTCATGACGAGGAGATTTATTCTAAAACAATATATGCGCAATAGTGCACAATCTCTTTTCCCCTTTACAGCTTTGCGTAAATCTGGCGTGAAATAAAGCAGCTTCGAATTTTCGCATTCCACTGAACCAGCGAGATTGGAGGATGATTTATATTTTTTTAAACGGCTTGTTTTGCTTAGATCTACATACGAAGTACGAGTAAACAGCATTACTTTGTTTTTGATCTTTTTGAATATGCAGGTATAACTGGTAGACCGTGGCTAGCTCAAGGAGCCAAACTGAAGAAGACGTTCGAAAGGCACATTCTGATTCCGCGACCCGATTATAACAGTGTTTACATTTATTGGAGAGAACTTCTAATGCCTTATCATGGTGTTGATAGGAATTTCAACGTCACAGCTCTTACTAAGGTCACAGAGAAGTATCCCTTTTCCGGTATGTAAAGCTATAAAGACAATTTATCCTCAAAAAGTAAAATTTTATTTCATTCAGGACTGAAGTCTCTACTGCATTTGCATATTTGGCGCAGCATGGTTTTTTGGTTCGCTGGTTCTAAACTTGGGCTCTGTTTGTCTCTATGAAGACACTTGAGGGTCACTTCAAGATCATTACAAGGGCACTTCCAGAAAAATGTGTAGCAACTGAGCTCCAGCACAGGTCAATTAAGTTTTTTTTTTCGGTCCGAATTATATTGAGTTACTATGAAGGCCTTTCAAAGTCATTCCAAGGACACGACAAGGACAAATTCAAAAGTTCACCCGCATGTCATATACGAGTAGTGGTGAATAATAGAATCGATTTTTATTCAGGTATCAGCTACAATATTACTTTGAGTACAAAACTAACTCTTAAACACTAAATAGTTAATTCCAAAGTCGTTCAACAAAAATAGGTGTTTCCAATGCTTTGGTTTTTAACTTTAGCCGTAGAAGATTTTGTGTCAAACTTTTTGCGTCTATTACTTTCATCTAACTGCTATTTTTCATATATGCTTTCTTTGAAATTTTGGATTTGGTTTAAATATCTGGGGCAGGTCATATGGAATGTTTGGGATCTATAATACTTTATGCCCATATTTACAATTGCTGGAGGTATAATTTTTCAGCCTTACATGCCTAATACATACTATTATTGAATTGCCCTTGTCATAGTAATGTCACTAAGACCAGTTATAATAATACGACTTCTCAATAGCTTGTAAAAGTTAACAGGACATAACTAGATTTTATCTAGCAGTACTTCAGGATTCGTAAACATCACAAATCATAGTTCAGATAAAAGTTGGGCCCTTATTAAGACTCTCGAGATTATAGTCACATGAAAGAATGAAAAAAAAATAGTAACTTATTCAACCCACGATGTCGATAAAAGATCGATAATAAAATTCATGTTCGTAGCTTCTTTGTTACGATCCATATTCAGATGATCAAAATTTTTCAACTCAGGATATAGGCAATCCAAGGCGATAGGCGAAACTACATATAAAAATTACCTCCAAAAATATTTAAATCTGGATCAATCCAAATTGAGATACTGTATTATTATGTGCTTAAGAAAAAATTATTGCAATTCTTTGTCGGATTCTTGGTTAGGTGATGAAATTTTCGCAACCTCGAAACCCACTGTTCGTCACTGTTTTCTTATGTTCTTTTCACATACAGGAAAATCTGAAAAAATTGGAAAACCCCATTTTTGCCAATTATATCCAATTTTCGGCATTCTTTGTCTTTCCTTCCAGCCTCCATAGTTCAAATTCTGATTTGTCTGATAAAATTGCGAAAATATGAGAAATCGCATTTTCACTGATTTTCTTCCCCAAGAATCTGTGAAACCGTATTTTCGCCGGTTTTCTCAATTTTTTTACAGTTTAAACGTTTAAACGCTGACTAACTTAATTCTTCTAGATTCCACGGACAACATTGTGATTTGTTTCCCGGAAAATTGCGGAAATAGGAAAAACCGCATTTTTGCTCATTTTCTTCAGTTTTTGACGTTTTGAATCATGTTTAGGGGGCTCTAGGGTTAGTCAAGCATTCTTTTACTGACCTCAAATATTAGAAATCGGAGAAACTCAACAATTATATCATTTTTCCTTTCTTGCAATTTTCCGGACCACGAACCATAATTTCGACAATGGAACCTGAAAGAATACAAAAAATACATCTGCACATTGGGTTCTTGAATCAGACAAGTTATAATAACGTACTCTATAAATTTCAAAAATTGGAAAAATTAGCATAAATGCAGGTCTTCCTATTTCTGCAATTTTTCGGAAAACAAATCGAAACTTCGATTGTGAACTTTAAAAAAAAGATTCTCGAACCAATAAGTTCCACAAATTTATCAAAAGCCATGCTTCTGTAGGATATAACAATATACCGTTGGTAGTTTTTGAAGATGTTTTGAGCCAAATTGCGAGCGCAAAAAAATAATTTCAGCAAAAAAACATGTTTTCAGTGTTAGGAGCCCCTAGAGGCGAGCTATAGATTTGAAATTTTGGCTAAGATGATTTGACCCAATACGCCTAAATTTGGATATCTCTAGGGGCAATTTTCGTATGTATATTCGCCTATAGCCTTTCGGCATAACGGGGTAGTATTGAATGATTCACCGCAAACTTCAAACATCAGTCTGCCATTGTAAAGAAAGCGTAAGCAAGGTTTTGTTTTCATCAACCTACTACTTATGTTATTAAATTTGAAATAGGTACAGTAATTTTTGCTACCTTATTATTCACTTTTTGCCGAGTTTTCACACGTCGCGACCCTCACCGCAGTCTTAAGTTCGAAAGTCGTACCTACACTTGTAGGACGCCTTTATGGCCTGCTTGATTTTCATAGTATTTTCTAACCTTCAGAAAGGCTGGGATAGTTCTAGATTTCGACTGTTCCGTGTCAGCATCAGCGCTTTTCTGTTGTGAAGCTGTTTTCTTTTTGAATTGTAGCAAAGTTCAGGTTTATTTAACAAATGATATAAACGAAAAACATGAACAATTTGATGTAAATAGATACTTGTAACATAACCTCATGATAAAGCGCTGACACGGAACAGTAGAAAACTATGAAAATCAAAAGGGCCATAAAGGCGTCCAACAATTGTAGGAATGACTGACGATTTGACTCTTAGACTGGTATCTAACTGAAGCTTTCGGTGCCACTTGAATTTGACGAGGATGATTAACTAGCCTTCCTGAGATCATAAACGAAAAAGCCACAATAAACCGCAGTTTCGACCATATAGTTTCGGAAATACTTACAGTGCTCAAGCAAGTGCTGGAAGAAGTTCTAGTACCAAGGAGGATCGTCCAACTAAAATTTAAACCACTGACTTGTGAAGAGATATACGAGGTCATCGTGTCCAAAAGCATTGAGCCAATAACCGACAAGGAGTATAAGAAGTTCACGAAGTACTACCAGAGTACTCCGCTTGGAAAGGAGAAAAAAGCGTTCAATAAATGGGCCGACTTCAAGAGGGAACAGGAGACAAAGCAAAAGGAAAAACAACAGTCCAAGACAAAGTGAAAATCATTGCAACAAAAAAGTGTACGATTGTTTAGTTTCTCAAATGTGTTTTATATTCAGCTTTAAGTATCAAATACAAACATATTTTTTTATCTTGAAGCATTTATCAAGCATTTACCAGCTTTGCGTACGGATCACATGTTTAGGGTGCTGCCACCCCGAATACATTATCCATGCTCGCTGTGGAGGGCTATCCGTCTGATGGATTACTCTTCTCTAACGGACAGTCTCGGGACCCTTTTGCACAGACATGCCAGAAATGGCGGATACGACAGCTCCTTTGTTCCTAGGGTATCGAGATAGTGGAACAATCTACATAAGGGGGACTTTCTCAGTTCTAGTACGCTTGGGCAGTTCAAAAATCGGTTTAAGAAAGTTTCTTCAAGCTCCTCAAGAATATTCACTACAATGGGTGTCCCATTGTCACTCATGGGAATATCAAATCACTCACCATACTACCAGCATGAAGGTACTATGCTAAAGTTACATAAAATACATAGGATCTGTTTGTTTTCCGAATCTGCGACCATAACCAACATCAACGCATGCAACGTCGTTTTATGCATTTTAGCAATCATTAGTACGGAGTACGTCATCAAATCCCGCTTTTGCTAAGCCGGGGCACGAAAAGGCACGGGGGTCACAAATTCAACCAATGAGAAGGCGTCTCTGAAGTGATGGATTTAATGAATATTTGATTTTTTGTAGAATGTCTCTCAAACTAGCGAAAACTTATACGGTTTGCGTAAGATGGGCACCAAATTCCCATATTAAATCAAGAAATACGTCATAAATCACTTGGCTTAGCTGCTAAAGTAGTAAATTAGCTACCTGGAATGTACCAATGAAAAATAAGCATTTGTGAGGTTAAGTGGTAGAGTAGCCAGCTGGCTAAACTTCGCCTCGCAGTGTGGAGGGATTAATAAAGACATTATTATTATTATTATTATTATTATTATTTGTGCCGAACTCGAGGAATGGACACGAATCAGGTTACAACATCAAGATTGATGTGAGAGAAATTAAATTGATATTTTATTGAAAATAACACGTCGCACTGTTGGTGTACAGAAGTTGGCTTAATAATTCTTTGAGAACATAAATAAAATTACGGAATGCTTATCCTTTAACAAACAGCCAGCCCTCTACTGGACAGTACAACTACTTCTAGCCTTGTCACTGTCACCGCTGCGCAGTGTGGTCGTGTAGTTGTGCTACCGGCCAGTAGAGTGCGCTACATCTTTCTGTTAACAGTTAACAGTAATAGAGCGGGCTTGCGGATCAAGGTTCTTCGCACGGTAGTCGAATAACTTCATTATTTACTCGATGTTTGTTAAAGAATAAGCATTTTGTAATTTTATTGATGTCTTCAAAGTATTTATTAAACAGGATTTTGTACAGAAATAGTGAGACACTGTTATTTTCAATAAAACGCTCAGCAGTGGCGTCATGTCAATCTATTGTATCAGGTTTGATCCATATTTTGAGTGGGCCACAATTTTTTTATAAACGGAATTTGCGTCAACTTTTGTATCCGAACGCAAATGAAAAATAGGTTTTGCTAGCTGAATCATGTGATATATGAAGTAAAGTCCTATAATCCTTCTCTAGTTTGAGAGACATTTGACAAGAAATCGTCCAGATTCATTAGATTCATTATTTCAAAGACTCCCTCCTGTTGGTCTAATTTGTGGTATAGGCGTAAATTCTGATTCTCGCCTGTAAACATTAAAACGAGCCTATCAGACTCGTATTCGCCTATTTGCTCCCCGTCATCTGTCCTATATCGTGTAAGTTTAGTCTTGGAGGCAGGCAACGAAAACAAGTGTATATGGGTTTACCAAAATACTCAATATACAGGTTGCCCGCAAAGTTGGGGTTTTCCTTTACACGACGTGTAGATGTTGAGAAAATAAGCGGATTTTCTTAGTAGCATATACACCAATGTCTTGAGAGAACCGAAATTTGGGCTCAGCAAGCTCAATCAAACCTGAACCAAACTGAAGCCGGTCATATCCCTCCATCACGTCCACAGCGCCAGCGTACACTTATACGACGTACGACTAAGATGTAAATATGCTAGTATACTACCTAACCTAGACGCCGGTAGTGTAGGTCAACAAATCATTACATTGGTAACCGATTGCTGTTCAAAGAATAAAAAAAAATAGCACACTCATACGAGTACACCAATAGCGAACTAGTCGACATGCTGTTAATTTATGGTGAGTGTCTTCAAAATGCGACCGAGGCTTCGCGACTGTATGCAGATCGTTTTCCCAGACATCATCCAAGGCCCCGTACAGAGACTCAGCGATACCGGTCGTTTGAAGAAATGTCGAGGTGGGCACAGTGGGAGACCTAGTCAACGCCGAATGGTGCAAACTGAGAAAGAAGTACTTCAACAAACACTAGGGACGTGGCTAGACAAGTGCAGATGTCGGAGACTAAGGTGTGGCAAACGCTGCACATTTCACGTGTAACGTGGACAAGCCCTCCAAGCTGAGGATATTCCTGCAAAAGTGCCGTTTTGGTGAGTGATTGTTGAACCAACATGACAATAATCCGGACTTTCTTAAGTGCATATTAGTCACAGACGAATCCACGTTCACGCGTAACGGGGTGAATAACTTCTTCAATACTTATGTGTGCTCAGAAGAAAATCCTCGCGGTGTCCGTCGGTCACACTTTCGACAAACGTTTTCTGTGAATGTTTACGCTGAAATGGTAAACAACATGCTCATTGAACCATTTATTCTTCCGAATCGGTTAGACGGGATATAATACCTAGACTTTTTACAGAACATTTTACCAACCCTGCTAGAAGATGTGCCTCTGAGTGTAAGGCAATCAATGTGGTTTCTCCATGACGCTGCACCGCTCCATTTTAGACGCGAAGAGCATGAGTTCTTAAATGAATCATTTCCGAATAGGTGGATCGGACGTAATGGACCCGTAGCATGACCTCAGAGATCTCCAAATTTAACACCGTGTGATTTTTATTCTTCGGGGCGAAATGAAACGCTTGGTGTACAAAACTAAGGGGCACGCAGTTGACGAATTACGTCTGATAATTGAGCGAGCTGCTGCGTTCACCCAGGTAAGAAACTCCACTCTCTAGGCGCGTACACATCTGGCGAACGCATGTGGCCGAAGCTCTTCGATCGAATTCATTCGATGATGTCGACGTTCGATGGAAAATTTGCTCTGCCGTCCACATTACGGTGAACGAATTTGTTTGCAGTCATTCGTCGAGGTTCGCGGGTATTTTTGTAAATGGTAAAAAATGGCGTCCGATGATGAGGATATAATTATTGCAAGTGCGTTGTATATTATTATTAGTGAGGCGGAGACCGAAGCATTAAAAGAGCCCCCCAAGAAACGACGAAAACGGCGCTGGTGGACATCATTGTTCAAAAGCAGAAGTCGGTATAGAGGGATGGACTTAATTAGTGATCTAAAAGCTGAAATGGAATACGGACTTTTTGTAAATTTTTGTAGAATGAAGTCTACTGATTTTGAATGGTTATTAAATGAAATCGGTCCAAAAATCGCGAAACAAGATACAAAGTTTAGTGTCTTTTGGTATAAACTTGTCCATCAAGAAAAGCATTTCTTTGAAAGCGAACCAGCTAGATTTAAAAATTGTGTCGGTTCCTGAGCCAGTTTTAAACGAGCTATCTTGTTTTTGTCTCTCACGTCGGAATGATGTTAATAAAGATTCCATTTTCTTTTTGACCTCCCCTGTATCGCCTTTCATAATTTTGCTGATGTCGTTCCAGGCATCCATTTTCTTTATTTTATTTTTGTAATCTTTATGCACTGGATTCCATAAAACTTCCCGTTCTCGATATAAACCAATAAGTTTTAAACAAGAGGAATTAGTCCACTCCATTATTGCTAAATAGAAACTCAAAACAAAATGACCACGATGAGACACTTAAAAACTGAAAAGCGTACACACTAAACACAGCCAAACGAATTCGTTCTTCAATTTTCTTTTGATGTACCGCCCAGTGACCGAACTCTGGCGAAGGCAAACACATGCGTTTGTTAGGTCGTACACATTTACCAACGGCGTTCGGTCGAAAGGCTTCGGCCACATGCGTTCGCCAGATGTGTACGCGACTTTAGAGCCTGCACCGATGCTTGGCTACGTCGAGCACGCACATGTGTTTTTGAATCCAACGGCGACAACTTCGAACTGTACTTAAGGTACATTCACCAAGAAAAGGTGACACAGACGTCACATTTTCGATCTCTTTTGTTATTTTTGTTACACGTGCTCCTCGGATTCTACGACAGAGCCGTACTTGGAATTTCAGTTCAACTGAACAGTGATTACTTTCTCATTTATTTTTTTTACTTGTTCGCTCACGATTCGCCACACATTAGCTTTGTTATATCAAGCGTACTTGTGTCTGAAAAGGAATACTCCAACTTTGCGGACATCCTGTATAGTGCAGGAGAAGGTGGCATTACCACCAATAAGAAATTCACCAAAGCAGTACCACCGACACCTATGTCAGTAGCAGGAAAGCATACGCTTCGCTGCATCTCAGAAAGTATACCTACTACTATAATACTAAGTGCTGACCATGCTAACCAACTATGGAGCAGTCTTTTTAGAGATGCCGGGAAAATCGATTATTATGCAATCGATCTTCTTCGCTCAATGTCACATTCCTAGAAACCATTTTACAGTCTGCAAGACCATTGCATGCAAGCTATTTCAGTTGCAAGACGGCACTGTTTTGCTTGCAACCCAAATGGATCCAATCACTTACAGTTGCAGGGCGGTCCTGTTTCCTCAATTCAAACGAGCAAGGTTAGCCAACCTACACAAATAGCACTGACACATTCCGAACCTATAAGTTGGATTTTTGGAAAACATGGTTTTAATATCCAAAAACTGGTTTCAATCAAACACAAATAATGAAAATGTAGCAGGGTGTTTAAAATATTAACAATGAATATTTTGATAATATATAGTAGAAAACACCAACTGTATCACTCCCTAATCAAATTTGCAGCATAAAAATAACACATGTTGCAATTACAGCATATCAACCTATTTTCATTTCAATGCAAAATAAGTC